TTAAGTTAAATGATCTTTGTACAGTAATTACCTAAGTGTAGTTACTGGATGAGAGCTACACTTGTGGTGTCCTGTCTTCCCAGTACTCTTTGTGTAGTTTCACTTTGAAACTACAGGTACTGACAGTTTTGGCCTCCACCACCTTCTCACTTAGTTTGTTTTTGTAATCATGTATTCGCCTAGTTGTATTCATCTAGTTGTGCTTTGTGGGGGTTGAGCTCTGGCTCTTTCAACCCGCCTCTCAACTGTCAATCACTCAACTGATAGAATTTTTTTTTTCACACACACACACACACCCTCAGTAAGCAGCCTGTAGCAGCTGCCTAACTCCCAGGTACCTTTTTGCTGCTAGGTAACAGGGGGATCAGGGTGAAAGAAACTGCCCATTTGTTTCCGCCATCGCCAGGGATCGATCCCCGGTCCCTAGGATTACGAGACCCGAGTGTTGTCCACTCAGCCACAGGCCCCTGCATGTGTGTGTGTGTGTGTGTGTGTGTGTGTGTGTGTGTGTGTGTGTGTAAATACTTAAGTATAGTTACAGGATGAATGTTACACTCATGGTGTTCCATCTTCCCAATAATCTTTGTCATATGACACTGAAACAGCTGATGGTCTTGGCATCCATTGCCTCACATTGTTCCAACTGCCTACATCTCTGTTCACAAAAAAAAGATAACTTTCGTATAATTTTCCCTGCACCTTTGTTTTTTTCTTTAGCTTGTACCTCTGGCTTCTTGTTCTTGAAATTGTAGATTTAAACAAAATTATTATTTTGTTCAATTCTTGTTACTATTTAGTAAGTAGTGATCATATTGACTCTTTTCCTTCTATCTTCTAGCTTTGGCACAATTAACACCTCTATCCTCTCACTGTTGCTCTTGTTTTTCAGTTTTGCTCCACATTACTTCCTCCCATTGTGTGTTCCATTTCCACATTATATATCACTATGCCTTCCCTTGATGTGTTCCACATTACCCTCACATTTGTTCTTTGACCCACTTAGCTTTGCCCTGTTAGACAGACAAATTAGTGGAAATGGCAACTATCATATGAGCGTGACAAGTCAAAGGGTATAGCAATTGTCATACGTGTCTATCATTCTCCAGTGTGCTGGTTATCATAAACTTTGAGAAATGTGAGAGTAGTATGGTTTACATCATATTAATTTCTATTATATGTAGACCTACTTTTTCCTTTATATTTGTACCCAAAATAGATATTTCATCAGTATGTCTTCACAGATTGTTAAGTTGCAAGTTTTACTTTCAAATAAATCTAGTGAAACAATAATAATACAGTATACGCAAAAAAAAAGTGGCTACTTTATATTATTTGAGTGCGAACCACAAGTTGACAAACTTCAAAACATTACAAGAACTAATCAGATTCCATTGTTTTAAATAGGTTTGAATCCATGCAAAAGCTCTTCTTGTTTCTTAGAATATTGTCAATACCAGGGAAGTGTGTGAAGGTAGACAGTGTCAGGGGAAGTGTGTGAAGGTAGACAGTGTCAGGGGAAGTGTGTGAAGGTAGACAGTGTCAGGGGAAGTGTGTGAAGGTAGACAGTGTCAGGGGAAGTGTGTGAAGGTAGACAGTGTCAGGGGAAGTGTGGGAAGGTAGACAGTGTCAGGGGAAGTGTGGGAAGGTAGACAGTGTCAGGGGAAGTGTGTGAAGGTAGACAGTGTCAGGGGAAGTGTGGGAAGGTAGACAGTGTCAGGGGAAGTGTGGGAAGGTAGACAGTGTCAGGGGAAGTGTGTGAAGGTAGACAGTGTCAGGGGAAGTGTGTGAAGGTAGACAGTGTCAGGGGAAGTGTGGGAAGGTAGACAGTGTCAGGGGAAGTGTGGGAAGGTAGACAGTGTCAGGGGAAGTGTGGGAAGGTAGACAGTGTCAGGGGAAGTGTGTGAAGGTAGACAGTGTCAGGGGAAGTGTGTGAAGGTAGACAGTGTCAGGGGAAGTGTGGGAAGGTAGACAGTGTCAGGGGAAGTGTGGGAAGGTAGACAGTGTCAGGGGAAGTGTGTGAAGGTAGACAGTGTCAGGGGAAGTGTGGGAAGGTAGACAGTGTCATGGGAAGTGTGGGAAGGTAGACAGTGTCAGGGGAAGTGTGTGAAGGTAGACAGTGTCAGGGAAGTGTGTGAAGGTAGACAGTGTCAGGGGAAGTGTGGGAAGGTAGACAGTGTCAGGGGAAGTGTGGGAAGGTAGACAGTGTCAGGGGAAATGTGGGAAGGTAGACAGTGTCAGGGGAAGTGTGTGAAGGTAGACAGTGTCAGGGGAAGTGTGTGAAGGTAGACAGTGTCAGGGGAAGTGTGTGAAGGTAGACAGTGTCAGGGGAAGTGTGTGAAGGTAGACAGTGTCAAGGGAAGTGTGGGAAGGTAGACAGTGTCAAGGAAGTGTGGGAAAGTAGACAGTGTCAAGGAAGTGTGGGAAAGTAGTCAACATATACTAAAGGTTCCACTTGGTTGACTATTTTTAAGTATTGTTATGAGATACACCTAACACCGCTTAAATAATTTACTGTACTAACAAGCTAACTTTAAATACATCAAATTGTATGATTTATTTGTGATTCCTTGCATAAAACATTGGGCAGATTTTGTCAAGTATATCCAAACTCAAAAGTCCCTACCAGGATTATAGTGATGTAGTTAAAAAAAAATAAATGACTGACAATGAACAATCATATCTCTGAAGCAACATCAAAAACGTTTATTCAAGAATTCTGTGTTGAGTTACTGTGTTCAAAGCATAGTGATTACCTAAAAGAAGTTCACTCTTGATTTGAATTCACAGCTGCCTAGTTTAGCTAACAGAAGTTGAAATTAATAAGTATAATTTATTTTAATAATAACTAAAGCACAATCGTTTTCATGCTTTTTAATTTTATATAATTATATAAGATACACTACCGATTTAGCATTGCCTGGCTTTATTCTCTTCAAGCACAGAGTTACATGCAATAATCCAAAAAGGACCTCAATGTTTAATGTTTTATTTAGACTTTGAAAGGCAATAAAATATATAAATATAATATGCAATAAAGACAATTCTTAATTTCAGTAACCCAACTACAAAATATTAGTTTTGGTTTTATAATCCCCATATCTAATTCCAGATGCTGAAAATAGCTATGTCCCTGGATCAAATCCTTGGTGAATCAGTCTCCTCTGACATCACTTGTCTCATGTCTTTCTGTTCTTGTACTGGCGGTCCTGAATAATATCTAACCCAGTGGGCACAATATCCAAGAGTAATGGTAATTCAATATTGAATCAATGTTGATCATTTTAATTCAATGTTGATAATTCTGATTCAACACTGAATTAACATTACACTTGGATATTGTGCCCACTAGATAGGAACTCTTTAAATATTTTGTAACACAGTGTTATTTATAGCTTTCTGTGCAGAGTATATCACATTGATAATCACTGAAGAATTTAACAAATACTGTCTTCTTGTATCATTGCTGTGAGCTGATGCAATGTCCAGCCTTGAAAAGCATTCTCATTTCTCAGCTCATCACCTATGTTACAACAAAATCCGTAGATACAGTAAATGCATCCAATAAATATAAATCTTTGACATATAAAATATAGATATGATCAAAGGCTCAAACATTTTGAAAACATTTTATAAGTGACTATTCCCTCACGAAACAATGAGTTTCACAGGGGATGATGCATTAAAAGACTTGAGATGTACACTCACTTTCAAATGGAGGGGTAACCATGTAGCCAATGATGTAATTTAACCATATTTTGTTCATAAACAAAGTTCTGGATAGGATGGGATGATTAGATATTGTGCCTTCTTTTTTACCCTTGTGCATCCAGCAGTAATTGTTGATCTGTAAGTAAAGTGATTGATGGATTGTGTTCTAGGGAAAATATGGCACTGAATAACCTAAACAGTTCCAGTACCCAACTTAAATCCTAAGATTCCAATAGAAACAAAAATTGAAAGATTTTCTGAAACAGTTTCGAAATTTTTAATATTTGTAATTATTTATACCCAATATGAGTAAAAACATTTTTGTTTAGACAATTACCTGCCTATGTGATGAACATTTTGCAAATGAATGAGGTTGTACTACACTGGTTTATGTACATGAGCTGGTTAAGAATCGGAAATATATCAAAGCCACTTGTAACCACTGTAGAGAAATTTGTGGTTGATCTAAGCTAGATATAGGAATGATTTACAGCATGAAGGAATGTCAGCCCTTATTGTCAGGAGTAGAACCCAAGATCCCGGCACTCACAAATACCCGCTTTCCCACATCACCACACACACAGGTGCTCAGCCTAGAGTTCAGGTCAGTCATTTCAAACATTATCTCATGTAGCCCTTATTTTGCACAATTTTGCAAATTGTTCGAGTTTGAGCTTGTAATGCCACCATATATATATATACAGTACTGTACAGTGATCCCTCGATTTGCATAAATTTGGATAACACAAAATTGAACGTAATATATCCTCCATAACACTAAATATAAAAATTTAGTACATTAGTGACATTTTCAGGTATTATATTCATTACTGGGAATTTGTGGGAGTATTGATGAATACTGCATATTTTACTATGAAAAGGATGACTCTGGGAGCTCTCTGGAATGCAGCCCTATTTTTCCAATATACTGTAATCTGAACTTAAATTTGTGGAAATTTGCCTGCACAAGGTTTTCTTGGTATCCTTTGTACAAATCAAGGGAATACTGTATGATGCTAATGATCATATCGTGAACCCAGGTAGAACATTTACTACCTTTTGTAGTCATATGTTTCACCATTGTTGACCCCTAGCAATAACAGGATACAATTGCTAATAATTGCTAACTAAAGCATGAACAATGTTTGGCATGACTTGAGACCTTGGTAGACTCTGGATGATCAACGCTAGTGGCAAGTCACTTATAAGTAGGAAAACAATGTAAACAATGGCAAGAAATAAATTGCACAGCTATTCTACTGTCTAAATTAGGATTGTGCAAACTCCACAACTTGAGTTTAAAAATGTTTATATTAGCTAAATTTTATATCTAACATGAGTTCCACAGCAGAAGAGCATTCATGGCAGACATGTGAAGGAAGTTCAAGGCAAGAAGTTTTTGAAAATTTATTCAGAATTTTTTCATCACAGCTTTAATTTTTTTTCAAATAGCACGGCAAAAATATAGATAAGTGTCCTATTTGTATTTTCACTTGTTGCATCACTAATCAAATCATTATGATAATCTGTCAGACCCTTGAGAGCTCTATAACAGTAACTAAAGATTATAACCACTTAACCCTTTCTCAAAATACTGTTGCAAACAACATAGTGACAAAATGAACATTGTATCTTTTACTGCAGATAAGAACAAACTTATTATTCTGGGTGATTCTAAATGATTAACATTCAATGGGACTCCCCTTTAATATGAAATTACTTCTAGGTTGCCAACATTATAACATTTCAATATATAGTGAACATTGTACTTAACATATTTCAAACATTATAAATTTTCCTCCTGGTACTACACTTTCTTTCATTCCGCACTCTCCTCATTACAAGCCTGGCCACTCGCTTCTGCTTCTCTCTCTTTCTCATCTTCTTCTTTAATTACATCGTCAGATTCGTCCTCCGCAGAATTGCCATTCACTTTCTCATTTCTTAGGGCCATTTCTGCTCGAAGCTCTGCATCTGTAATACATATTTCACTAATTAACATGTCCCATATTAATTTGAAATAATTGTGTGCCTGTCAAAAGTATAAAAAAAATTACACCAAATTAAATTACACCAAATTGAAGGAGAAAAATAATAATTCTAGAGTTTCCTAATCCATATAGATTGGTGTGGATAATCTGTACCAATCCTAGGATCTACTGCATTGTTGGCAGCAAGTCTGGCTCTCACACATCTTGCATTCATGTATTTTATAAATTTGTTTCATTTATATAAATTCATCATATGCACATCCTAAGCAATCTGGACTTCACTGACATTGATCCAGACCACTTTTTCAAAAGGTCAGATGTAACACAAACAAGGAGCAATGAATTAAGTTCAACAAGCCACAATGTAGAACAGAAAAAAGGAGATGCTTTTTCAACCATACGGTTATAAGCCCATGGAACTGCCTACCTGCAGTAGGAACTGTTGATGTGTCATGTGGAGGGATAAGGGTACAATGAATGAATTTTTGTATTAGTTTCCCAAATAAAATTACTACACTTTTTTAATTATTCTATAAGACTGGCAAATATAGTACATACAGCATACAAGTTTCTGATATGTGCTAATTTTTTTTTTCAAGCTCATATTTTGCATTGCTTTTAGCATAATAAAGTGTGAATTGCATTTCTCTAAAGGTTGTGTCTACTCTCAAGCTTTGTCCTGTTTATTATTCATTTAATTCTCTTAAGTTATATAATCAAATGACACCCAATATGTACATGCTTTCTTTTCCAGACACACTATGATTACACATTGTAAAACTGCAGATATAATCACCCTTCATGGCCCGTTCCTTCCAGCGACTCTTGTTTGCTGACAGACAATCTTGCCAAGGCCGCCGCACCTCTGTACCCACAATACCACCTGGACGCACAGGCCTCTTGATTGGACCACCAGGTTCTGTAAATGCAAAAATCTCAGTGCTGTGTTGCTCTTCAAATAAAAGTACTAGATACATCAACATTTGTTTACAATCAAAAGCAGGTATTGGCTTCCTGAAGGCCAGCACCAGGGATACCTGGCCACAGGCCAGACTGAGTGGTTAATCACAGGTAAACCCCTGGTAAGGTCTTCCAATGTCACTCTTCATTCTCCTATGAAGTGAACTTCATTTCACAAAGGCTATGCAGTACACCAAACTTATCAAATTCTACCTTGGATCCTATGGTACCGTTTATATTAGACACCCCTTTATACGTTGTTAAAAGAAGAGCTGTACCATTATGCGGCTCCTCCGAGATGGTGGGTGTGGCTTGAGGTGCTGACAAAGATGCCACCTTATCTAGTAGGTCGCCGCATACACCAAGACTTGGGTCAACGATGAAGTCTATAAAACCTGAGACAAAAAGTGTAACATAAGCCCATTTGATTTATAGCATATGTTGTATTCTTGTATGCAACACATTAAGAAATAAAATTTTAATTTTAATTTGAAATAAAACTGTGTCATCAAATCTTAATTTAATTATTATACATTTTGTAAGAGTAAGTCTGCCCCTGTAAAGTTTTGGAACAAGGTTAAACCAGACTTCAGGATGCAGCTAAACTTTATCACTAAACTGCTATAAATAAAATTAGGAGCTATGGAAAGACTTGTGAAAACACACATGTGAAAGCATTATCCAGTTTAGTATACAGTATAAGCATGTGCAGAAACACTGATTTAATGGATGGACAAACACTCAAATCCAGTTTACTGCCTGCTAAACTCCTCCTAGCTTTCTCCTATGATAATGTCTAACACTATGATGTTAATATGGTTCTCTTATGTAATTCATGTGCTGTACTTTTTATTTAAACTTCCCAATTACAAACATATAACCATTTATGAATGAAGCTTTTTGATACGATTTGACTGTACTTAACTTAAACTTCTGAATTACTGTGGATTCTATTTTTATATTTTTTATTTAAATTATATTGTTCTCTTTGTAACTAACAAATCATTAAAAGACCTTAATGTTCCCCCAAATATTTTATCAGACTTAAGGCTCTGCAAAAATGCTGAATGTGTCAGTGTCTTTGCAATAATATATCAATACAATAATATTATATAACCCATTGCTGCATTTGTAAATGTTTTAAAATAAATACATAACATGTACATAAATTAGGTACAGTGGTTCACTAAATTACCCTGATAGTGTTTTGGTCACAATGTGGTAAACCATTAATATCATCGAACTATAAAAGTTGATTAATTTCAAAATGGGGGACTTACCAATCTGACTCTCTGCAACAAGAGTATTATTCCGGTCACACAGAGGGGAATAGGGTAGGCCAAGTTCTCGCTCCTTGTCACCTTGCCTGAAGAATTCCTCTAAAAGCTGAGTTGTCCAGCGCTCATGGAGCTCCCAACTTTTGCTTGGGTGTGAGATGTCACAGCAGTGAAGAACTAGTGATAATGCTTTGGATTTGTCCAAACTGCTGGAAACCGTAAAACACCATTGCGTAAATAACTAATTGGAAATAAATTAATGAAAAGCAAAAGGTTTTATGCTTAAATATTTAAGGTTTACAAAATTTAATGCATTGGTAACGGAGTAGTTAAGGCCTAGTCCTGAGTACATACATGTGTTTGCCAGAAGTGCTGATATCAGTTAACAATGACAAATGCTTTATGATAGAAAAGTGAACAACAAAGTGTTAAGTGTTAAAGATGCCTGCTGACCAATGCTTGCATTCACTTCTAAAGCTGCAGGGCCTACCAATTACCCCTAATGCTCAAGCTTACATACCTCCCTTCCTCCTTCCCCTTTAGGAGTATTTGCTGGAGGGATCTCTTGTCGCAGATTGATTTTGCTTTTCATGGCCATCTACAGAACCGTATTTTCAGTTAACCCAGGTCTTTTCAACTCAGAGTAGTTTGGTTGCATGCACATTGCTCCCACACATATGTACTTTTGCTTATCCTGTTGTAATGCTTGTCATATTACCTAGATTGTCTTAAACCCATCTTGGACATTTTACAATAAAACTCATTTCCAAGTTGTCTTCTAATTTCCTACAACTTTTTGCTCCATGTCACAGCCCCACGGTTCCTTGCTTGATTAAAATCTACTGTACTTGTTTTGTGTACACCCCCCTTCTCCCAAGAGGTTTTACCTGTCATTCTCACCTAAAAGAGATATTATTAAGTAATGCCTAGTTAAGTTGAATTATTAATATTAATTTCCCATCTGTTAAATATTCATTCTAGAACATTGCCCATTATCCTACTACTGTATATTTGTTGACTTTATAACAAAATAGTCATAAAATACTGTAAGGTTTAGTTCATCATTGATTGCCCATTTCAGGTTACCATTTGGCCTTTAATTCCATAATAGACCTTGTGTCATTTCATCTAAGGTGGCTTCTTTGCATACTTAACTACTGTATTGTACTTTTCAAAGTATACTTTTTTGTAACTTAAAATTGCCCATCTTATCTGACTTTCCACGGTCTCATACAAAAAATTACAGTATAATAAAGAACAATGAATAAGGACAGTAAAATTCTTCCAGAAAACTTTATACCTGGAATCTTGTAATGAAAGCATTGTTTTCATAGCCTTAATTTGTTGGAAATGTGAAGACATGTCGGTGGCCAGGACCATCTCAATCACCAGGCTGCGAAACTCGCGGAACTCCTCCCGAGATAGGTTCACCAGGACGTTGTGTTCTTCTGCACGAAGTAATCTAGGACCAAATTAACTCAGTCAATTTGTATACAAGAAAATGCTAAGGTCAACAGGAATGAAATTTCTGTGAACAAGATATAATGGGGCTAATTTCATTTAGATTTTTAAGATACTGAACAAGTTAAGATAACATTACTCTTAACCACTTCTTCACAAAGTACAATGTAACTCTCACAAGAGGCAACAAGTTAATCAAGCCTCAACATAAAGCAGACAATAGGATATACTTTTAACATAAAGGGTGATGAATCTTTGGAATAGCCTACCCACCAAAGTTGTAATTCACATATTTAAGGAGGGGTTTATATCTCTCATAGTGGATGGATCACCAACTATTTTACAGATGATTCCTAATGTACATGGAAAACAGCTATAGTTACCTGAAAGCTGCACAGATGTGATGATTCTCAAGAACTGCACGATCGTTATAAAGGATGGCCGTTTCAGAACCAGACATTACATGGAAGTTGTTGGTGGTGCCAGTGTGCTCGTAGTCATGGATGAGAGCAGCCATTAGCGTTGCAAGGATCTCGACATCATTTAGCCAGTTCTGCCGCAAGTATATACACATACGTATACTATTTAATAAATACATGTCTTCCTAAAGACAAATTAATACTCTGTGAGGATAAATTATGGATAATAGAAATGATCTGGATTAGAGATCAATATAACTGGAATGCTAGAGGAACTCAAAACTGGGAGTTAATTTGATTAATATGTAAATGGTTTATAAAAGCCTTAACACAAAGTGTCATCTTTAAACATTGTCTTAAATCTATTTTAAACTTGGTGTGTCTCCTTCTGTCATTGTCAGCACTTAAATCTGCTTTTTATTCTCAAAACAGAATCTCACAAGAGATCGATGTCTATTTTATATTATATTTTTTATATATATATACAAGAGTTCTTACATTCTTGTAAAGTCGCTAGAGAGAATAGTGTTTCGGGCAGGTCCTTAATCCTAATTATCCCCGGAATATGACCCGTACAATCGTTTAACAGCCAGGTGCCCATTCACTGCTGGGTGAACAGAGGCTTCAGTTAAGGATTGGCAACCAGTCAACCCTCCCCAGCCAGGATACGAACCCAGGCTAAAGCGCTTGCGAAGCTCCAGGCCAGTGTTTTACCACTGCGCAACGGGGACTGTAGTTTGAACCTATTAGTTATACTCTATCATCTACTGTATATGGATTTGAAATATTCCTTTATTGTATGATCAACTACATCAATTACATTCATACATACTGTATATCTATTTTAACTGTTAATATGTTCAGAACTGCTTGACATACTTACTTGACAATGAATGACCACCTGGTTTATACTTAGTGTCACCACTAGTCACAACAACCATAAGATATATTTCTATCAACTTCAAGTTCTATCAACCATCAAGTTCTCATGACCATCTGGTGATAGGCCCTACATTTTTATCTTCAGTTATAATGTAGCAAAACCCACGTGTAACATATAATTTCAGTATTTAGCACGTTTAAACAAATAACTACTGTACCATCATCACCAGAAACAGGAGTTACTTCAATATTTAGTTGTGAGATGTGTACCTCTTACCAAGACCATGGTAGCTTGGTCTGAATTGGCTGAACAGTTTGCAAGCTCCACAGTGCTACAAGGTCATCCCTCAACCTAAGGTTATTACTGTTTTGGATAACCTGTTATGCTTCTGAGTTTGTAAACTGTCTGGTTTACAAGCTAAGGCAGAGTAAGCTGCCATGATGTAGGTAAGAGGTACAAATCTTATAATTGGAAACATAGGTGCTCTGTAAATCCTGGCACTATTTCATTAGCTTTTATAACTAATAAATAAATCAATAAATGTTTATTCAGGTAAAAGTACATACATACAAGGTAAGTTACAAACAGAATGTTACTTTTCTAGATAGAGCTAAATAAAAAATATAAAATAAAAATGTTTATTCAGGTAAAAGTGCATACAAAGAAGATGAGTTACAAACATAATGTTGGATTTATAGATAAAGCTAAGATAAAGCTTTAAGCATAGAATACTTAAAGCCACTAATACGCAGAGCGTTTCGGGCACTAATACGCAGTACATACTAGTACACAGGCTAGTACATACGCTATGTACATACGCTAAGCTAGTACATACAGGTACTATGCCTAAATATGCTTCTGGAGATAAGCATGAGAAACACTAAGGCAACAGTGACCATGTACTTTAAAAATATCATGGGCAATTAGAAAAAGAGAAATTAGTAAAGTGAATACAAAACTTACCATGAGACCAGTTTGTGAGAGCATGTAATGCATGGTCTGAAGGACATCTGCGGCATGGACGTTATTATGGTAGGGGTTCTTGTACTTGCAGTAGCCAGTTTCCACCTGCGTCAAAAATGTTTCCAGCGTGGCCGGAGGCATCTGAAAGGGAATAATACACACATTAAATACTAGGAACAATGTACAGTACATTATTGTATTGTAATATTATTGTATATTACAGTACTGCCCGAAATTCTATGCGTGATAGCGGTTTTACAGGAATTTAAAAACATCAGTGCTATATACTGTACTTTCATAAACCCAATGTACTGTCTTGTAAATAAATAAATAAATAAATTGTTAATACAGCTGTTTTCCTAACATCTACCTAGATGAGACAATTTATGGAATATTGAATTGTAAAAGATAGGAAAGTACAGTATAGAATTTTTATATATCATCATTATTAACCTGACTACCTAGGAATGATAAGAAGATAATACTGCATGTGAAAATAGGGTTAAAGATAAACTAGACATTCAAAGTGGTGCACATCAATTCACACAACTGTATTTGCAGGAAATGTGTGAATTGATGTGTGAAGTGTGTGAAACATTGATGTGTGAGTGTGTGAAACATTGATGTGTGAGTGTGTGAAACATTGATGTGTGAAGTGTGTGAAACTAGTCTTGATAGTTTCATGGATAGTCAGAAACACCACACATTAGCAAATTATCACCAGGAATATTTTTATTTCTATGAGGAGTAGATGTAAAGTGTTTCTTGTGAATTTAAACATAATTGTCCATTGTTCAACTCTTTTGACCATGTCGTAGCTCAGTCAATTAAGGCAGTGTCTGGGATGGTCTCAGACGTAGGTTCGAATCCTCGTCATGGCCCTTGTAGATTTGTTCACAGTACAGTACATTTATGACATAAAAGTCAGAATAACAGCATAGTATGTTATTACACGATTATCGTTTTCCCTCACTATTACTGTACTGTACTGTACTTACCTCTTACCTGTATTCACTTTCAACACTTCTCTCAGACATACAGTACATTGTATTAATTGTATTGTAACTGCCTTAATTGTATTCTTGTAATACCACTGCCCAGAAGATATGAATTATAAATTCAATAATCCTGCTACCTGAAGTCAAGCTACATACAAGCTGCCAGGTATATACAAACGAATATTAACAAAAAAGTTTTGATTTTAACCATAAGTGGTAGGCCTGCATTAAGATACAGTATTCTTTAATTGTGTGTACAGTACTGTATATATAGATTACACTGTGTATTTAAATACTATCCTGTACCGTATAGTTGTTGAAGTATATCAACTTGCTCTAGTCTTAAAACCTTGAACTTTATGTAGTACTTACCTTGAATTTGTGAAGAAGGCCATATCGGTTCAAGAGCTCATATGCCAAGCAACGGAGTGGTGTGTTGTTGCTGGCTTCCTGCAGCTTCCAAACATCAAATCGCCAGTCATCCACTCTCTGCAATGATATACCGGTATGAATTGTATGTATTGTACTTCTGTTGGTGAATAACTAAATTATCAGTTGAATTTGTTATAATTTATATTTTATCAAATTTTACCTGAGAGCCACTAATACTAGTGGCCTCGACGAGGATGGGAAACCGGTGGCTTGTTGAAGGTCCCCCCCATTTGCCATGAAATACTGTACTGTAATATTGTATCATGTAGCTGATACTGTTGAGGAAATTAGAACTTAAAACATGACAATTAAAGGAGCTTGGTCTGTGTTGCACAGAATGGCTTGCAAGTGTACGAAACGTGCGTCACCCAAGAGTTAAGAAAACCCCTAACTTGCAATTCCTCAATTTTGAGTGCAGAATGAACTGCAGGTTTGTGTGGATGGGCAAAGTCACAGGACTGCTCACTCGAGCAAGATTTAAGATAAAGAAATTATCAAGAGAAAATGCTAAGCTATTATGACCTTACAGCACATGGAAGCCAAATGAGGGCAGGATAAGAATTGGGATATAAAGATTGAGTAAAGTAATGATTACCATTCAATAAGATTACTGAGGATTGAACACCTGCAGGTTCAGGAATTTGTAGGAAGCTAGGCCTTTGCTGTGCTGAGCAGTGCAAGTGAATGAAACTGAGCAGGTGCACTCATATAGCTTAATCTGGCAGAGCTGCAATCACTGACCACTGTATTTAGGAAGCTACTGTATCTTTTTAAATAAGCTTTCAATGTCATTCAGATCAAAGGTGTGTGAAACTATGAAATGGGAAAACCACTTGGGTCCCATTTTTCATTATAATTTATTGCACTTTGAATATTACTGTACTGTATTTGGTAATTTATTGGACTGCTTTCAAGTATAACTGCCATCAACCCACCCTTTATACAGTTAATGGCTATATATATATATTTAAAAGACCTACCTTGAGTATCTTTGTGACCTCAGGTGGCAGCTGAAGGAAGGTGGCTGAGGATAGGCGACGGTAGATCCTCTCTACGAAGATACCAGCACGAATAGCATTTGCCACCGACCTGTCGGAGGCAAACAGGACCTTAATGAAACCATGTTAGTACAACTTGGGCAAAATGGTGAGCGGAGAAAAGTTAAAATGGTGCAAGACAGTATACTGCATTGAAGAAAATCCTTAAGAGCTATCTGCAAAATCTTGGTAACTCGCACACACACACATCTAACAGTTTAAAACTTCTATCATATGAAAATTATACATAAGAGGCTAACAGATTTACTAATTTGGAGTACAGTATGTCTAAAACAATAATCTTGATGCACTGTACCTTGAGGCACCATTACAGTATAGTATTAAAAACAATTGAAAGACTTACCATAATGAAAAAATATATATTTTTTGGCAGCTCTTGCCTTTCAGTTTTCAAAACCCCCCTGCAGTTTTCAAAACATCCCAAAGATGCCAAATTCGATACCTGAGCCATATTTTGGACCCAAATTCTGGCTCTCTGCACCTATTCACAGTTTGAAATTCCGACTTTTTATACCAAAAATCTGCCAATTACTGAAAGCGGCGGTGGGTCAAATTTTGCCCAAACCCCCCTGCAGTTTTTAAAATATTCAAAACATCCCAAATTTGATACCTGAGCCATATTTCGGACCCAAATTATGGCTCTCTGCACCTATTCACAGTTTGTAATTCCTACTTTTTATACCAAAAATATGCCAATTACTGGAAGCGGCAGTAGGTCACATTTTGCCCAAACCCCCCTGCAGTTTTCAAAACATCCCAAACATCCCAAATTCGATACCTGAGCCATATTTTGGACCCAAATTCTGGCTTTCTGCACCTATTCGCAGTTTGAAATTCCTACTTTTTATACCAAAAATCTGCCAATTACTGAGAGCGGCGGTGGGTCACATTTTGCCCAAACCCCCCTGCAGTTTTCAAAACATCCCAAACATCCCAAATTCGATACCTGAGCTATATTTTGGGCCCAAATTCTGGCTCTCTGCACCTATTTGGGGGCATATGGGTTATTATGCCCCCCACATGCAGGGTCTTACATTTGTCGATATTAAAAAACATTTGCCAGTCTTCTGACCATTTGCGGAGTTCCTATAGATCTCTTTGTAAGGCTTTAATATCATTGAAACTGCAAGGCAAGAGTCATATGAGTAGAGGTTAGAGGCATTAAATATTCCAAAGCTAGAAGATAGAAGAAATAGTTGTGATATGATCTCTACGTACAAAATGGTAATGGGAATTGACGAAAGTGATAACAGAAAAATTCTTGAGACCTGGAACTTCAAGAACAAGAAGTAATAGATTTAAGCCAAAAAAGTATTAGAAAATTCTTTTTCCCCAACAGTGTGGTAGATGGTGGGAACAAGTTAAGCGAGAAGGTGGTGAAACACTTTAAAACTACTGACGGTTTTGGCCTCCAAAACCATCAGTAGTTTTAAGAACACTGTTTTCCCCAAAAACGGTGGGTTTTCTGAGGAAGAGAAAACGTACTTACTTAAATAACTTTACTTTCGTCTAGGTGTCAAGATTCACACAGTATGACTGTTCTGCCAGAACATTATTGTTATATATATGTTAAGGGGCTTACCTGAACCTGGGTTTCTCGTCATTTCTCCTGCGGGCGGTGGAGAGCTGACGGGTAAAGGTGGAGGCCAGCCACTCCCGCACCTCCTGGGGTACAGCGTCCGGCTCCACCTCAGATAGCTCGTCTTCCTCCTCGCCCACCTGACGCCTGTTGGAGGGCAGAAGGTCACTACAGAGATTACCATCATGTCCTTACCACAACCCCACGGGGCTACCTCCACTACATCTACACCATTTGCCTACCTCCATTACCCACACCAGACCCATACCTACACAACCAATGACTGTAGGGAAATACAGTCCACGGTACGAGACCCACATAGTCCAGGTGAATGTAATGACTGTACTTTTACCTGACTGTTCAATCAAATGTTTTATTTTTAATTGGGGTGCCGGGAATGCTCCCCATACTATGGGGAGCAACCTATAGCAAATATTCAAACCTGCTATAATTTGTACATCTTTACAACAGCACAATGTTAATTGCATTGTATATTATTATTATTTGTGTTAAAACCCAGCTAAGCAGTGTTCCTTCCATTAGAGGTTGCATTTCGAGCAAAGTATTCAACTAACGACTGCAGCTGCCCTACAATTAATAATAACAATTACAATGCTTATCACTAAAACACCAGTCAGAAGCAGCTTTTATTTGTTGTTTTTACCCCATCAAATTTCAACTAATGTACTGTTCAAGATTTTGGTCCAAGGTTGAGCATTTTGCTGCTGAAAATGATACCCAATGACTAAACCTCCAACTGGAATTGATAAATGGCCAACAGTTCAAATTCCGACGCGTTACTCCTGCGCAAACAACAGATAATGTCTGTTGTCTGTCTTCAGAAGTGAACTAATGATTACAGCTTCCCTTTCAATAATAGTAGAACTGAAGCTTGAGGTGGTCCCCCTCGGGTCTCTGAAACGGACCGGTTCTGGTGTCAGCAGAGGCTGTGATAGTCATGAAAGACAGACACATCACCTGGCGTCACTTTGCAATAAATAACTTTATGGATAAAATCATGAGAAGAGGAATGAAGAAAACTGCAGAAGGCCTATTGATCCATATGTTGCAGTTCATATTTATATCCACCCAAACTCATTCATATGTCTAACCAACGCTTGAAACAATCAATTGAACCCCGCGTCGACTACGTTACCACACTAGAAACAAATATCTATTTGATATTCCCAGAATGCAACTTGACCAAAGCGGAAATGCTGTGTAAATCACGGCGTCCCAAAATGTGGAATGACCTCCCTAATCACATCAAAGACTGTTCTCTCTCTACCAGTTTAAAATATAAAATAAGAACTACCTAATAAACTCTATGTAATCTAACCTTACTTCCTAAATGTCAATCTGTGTTTTGCTGTCACTGAACAATAATTACTGCACCTGTACTGCTGCTGTTATCTAACGTTTAATGTAAAAACGTTTAATACAGTAAATATATAATATATTAATATAGTCTCATTTATATCATTTAAGTAAAAACGTTTAATATAAAATTCTTTTCGTTCTGTTTATTCTGTAAAATTACTATTTGTTACTGTGACAATTTTGCTCTTCCATCCATCATGTCATAATCGTCATTCTGTTTCTATTATTCTAATTCATTATTGTTTTTTATCTTATTTAGCTTCAAGCCATTTAAGTTTTTCCCACATTGTGCCCGTAAAGCTGTGGTTTAGTGACTGTTCCATCAATCTATTTGTACCTTATGTATGCATATATTCACCTACTTGTATTCACCTAGTTGTGCTCGCGGGGGTTGAGCTCTGCTCTTTCGGCCCGCCTCTCAATTGTCAATCACTCAACTGTTACTAACTACTAACTTGTTTTTTCTCCACACTCACACACACCCAGGCAGCAGCTCGTAACAGCTGGCTAACTTCCGGGTATCTATTTACTGCTAGGTAACAGGAGGCATCAGGATGAAAGAAACTCTGCCCATCTGTTTCCACCGGCGCCGGGAATCAAACCCTGGTCCACAGGACTATGTATCCAGCGTGCTGTACTCAGCCACCAGCGCCTCTTTGTTTGTATGTATGTATGTATGTATGTATGTATGTATGTATGTATGTATGTATGTATGTATGTATGTATGTATGTATGTATGTATGTATGTACGTACGTTTGGGCAAATAAAATGTTTTATGTTTTACTTGTGATGGGATCCCGTCCTTGTTTCTAATTTGAATGGCTCAGGTTCTCATTTGGCTCTAACACACATGCTTCAGAGGTACAGTCAAAGCTGATATTTATTATTTTATAAGCGTCCACAAAGCTCGTTTTCAGTCTATTAAAAATGTATATATTGCTAGATTAAGATGTATTAGCTTAGATTAGGCCGGACTGGACTAGGCTGTGTTGTGTTGGGTAAGGTTAGGTTAGGTTTTAAAATCCGTTGGCAAATCGTCTTATATACGATGTGACTTGAATCTGCTTCAGAGGCCTTGGTGGCTACCTCTGTTGCCGTGTTTAGTCGCTCACGTGTGACGTTTGATCTCGTCAAGTATTCTGAATACGATTGTCTGTTGTTAATACTCAGGCAATAACTGACTTTGGTATTCAACCAGCAATTGTCCTTAAATATTCATGCAATAACTGGGCTTCTAACCACACTACCAGAAGGTCAGTCATGTAGCACTCAAGGAACCTGCAGACATTGCTATGCCAGTTGACTGTTCGTACTAGAGACGAGTCAATATGGCGCTCGCTCAAGCCTCATGTCCTAACAATTACCAATATATGTATATCAGAAATATTATGGATTATAACGGGCTTTGTAGGCCAAATTCTCCCCCGTTTGATTAGGCACATTTTGTTTTCCTTGGTTGTAACTTTGCAGGAACTTTTATTATCACAACGTTGATATTTTTATAGTTGCTTAAATTATGATTTAATATCGATCGAATTTTAAGAAGTTAAGAAGTAGTGAGGAATAATCTACCTATTTATGATAGTTTGGGTTAAAATATAACACAAAGTGTTGAGTAGATGATTACTAAGGGAATGCCCTAGTCTCGTCCTCTTCATTGCAGTTGGATACAGCACGGGGTCGACACTGGCCAGCCTAATGTAAATTTCACAGATGTTCAGCTTGGATATCCCCCCTCCCCCCTCGCTCCTCACCTGTTGGGTACAGCTGTTCTGGAGGACACCAGTAAAGGACCAGCAAGCTCAACAGCTGTTTCTTGAGTGACGAGCTCTGGCAGGTACACAAGAGTCCATTAGAGGACCTACAACTGGTAAAATATAAAGGAGAGAAGTTAGGACTCGGCTCAAGGCTTTAAAGTGTGAAATAATTTCATCTAACCAATCAATCACCGATGCAATAGGATCCTCTTTACCAATAGCCTCAATTATCGTCCCTGCCAACAGCGACCTGCTAGGGGGAACTCTTGGGTTCCAGTACCATGGCTGTAATTATCGAAAAAAATATTCGACGAGCTGAGAAGCATGGAAGCAAGATTATGTTTTGGATGCCCACAATACCTGTACCTCCTGACAAGGTAGCCAGCCTCGCCAAGGCTTAACTATTTCGACTTTAAAAAACTGACAGTGTGACATACTCTTGGAAACAATACCATCGAACGAATGCTTTCGCTGGAAGATCTGGTGGGATACGTATTCACAAGGCAACAGACACTAGTGTCTGCATTCTTATCCTTGTGCCATGTTGCTGCTGAATTAGTGGGACAGACGGACCATAGCACTTACTCGCCCAGAGCAATGGGATGAACGATTCCAAGTTCACTGAAGGAACCAGTCAGTGGAATATTCTTGCAGGCTCTTCACCCCTACGAACTTTCCCACATTCTGTAATTGCAAACAGATCCACTGGTGCCTCAACAGTGCTGGAGACAGTTTCCACAAAAGATGCAACACGCATCCTCGCTGTGCAAGCCCCTCATGGAAATCGTATTAGCTGTCCCTAATTCCTCCGTGGGCAACAGCCTTGGCCGTCGAGCCCTTAGTAATTGTGTTGCATTTAGCTCTGTCCTATCTTCACCGAGTACAGGTACTCTCCCACCCCCCTACACGGGGACTACTAAAGTAACCGTACAGTAGTAGTAGCAACGACTGAGCAAAACTTGCCATGGTGTAAATGTAGGTGGCTCCTACCATTAAAGTACTGTAATACCAACCTGTTTCTCTTTTATTTAGTAAAGTAGCTGGTTCAGTAACGCGAGATAACAAGTGTGGTGCTGTCGTTATCTTTTCTTGTGTTTACATTAAACAATGTGTGTGCACCTTAGTGTAAAGCCTGAGGAAGTTCCCATGTAATGAATTATATATATAATATGCGCAATACAAGACCAATGTTTGCAAATCCAATTCTTAGCAGATCTGAACTAATCCAACACTACTGCGAGAACCAAACTCAATCAACACTTGAATATCTGCCCTCAACCAACCTTCAACAGATGTGAATTACGCCTGAACCAGAGCCTGTGTTTGCATTAACTATGTCTAGGAAACGATGATCCAATTCCCTGGTGCTTGATGCGAGCTGGGACGAGTGCTCAGCTACTAGAGTTGATTGCTCTTCAACCCATCCATCAATCCTGCTCGCTTCTCTCACGGCTCTTCCCCACACGGGCGAAAAAGTTACAAAGGCATATGAATACTTGAACCCTGAGTTTCATTAAGAAAAGTTAAGAACCTTTGATGTCGAGTTTTGCCAATAGTTCGTTTCTTCTAAAATACCTGGAAACTAAGAGATGAAGAGGGCACTTGAAAGGCCATCGCAGGCTCGCCTTCCGTGCGTGAGACGGCAGGCCAGAGGCGTCAACCATTAATTTAACAATACCTCTCAGTCTTACAACCACAAAGAACGCACCAGACGAGAGCCACTTTGGCTTTAAAACCAGGAGACGAAACGGGGGAACTCTTTGTTGCAGGCAACGCGCCTGCAACATCTCATTGTTCAAACACTGAAGATTTTAATTACACCACTGGTGCTGGAATCCAGTGGTGGTGAAGGTAGACCCGGGATGAGCAGTCAGACCAGTGTGCCCGTGTCTGCCCAACACTCTTCAATAATTCTCTTGATTTTTGCTGTTGCCGAAGGCGGCGGCTAGTTGATTGTGCACCCCACTCCTGTGAGGGGTAGTTTATTGTGCACCTCACTCCTGTGAGGG